TGGCCAAAATGGAGTCATGGCAGTGCGTTAGAGTAATTACCCTCCATCATCTCAACTCATCTTCTTTCTTTACTTTGTGTGACAATGTGCTCTCTTCTGCCCGTTGCGGCCCCTCATTCCGTGCTTTCCGTAGCAAACGTGGCTTTGCAGATACTGCAGCGGCGTCCTTCTCCTCCATATATCATCCTTGATTGCGTAAGCACACAACAATGTGTCCTAATTAGCAGGTGCGTGATGTGAATTCAAAATACGCCGTGACATAATTACATGTCATTGTGCATTTGTTTTGATTAGGTACAACCCTTTACCACTTAGCGCTCAAGTGCGGGCCTGTGACGCATATGTCCCACTTAAGAAACCCCATTAAACCGACTGTACAGCCCGGAGGATGATAACTCGGAGCGTGCTTGTTCTGTTTATTAGTATGTGTCTGATGCTATGCCTTCAAGGCCGCAGTTTGTTGCTTTTTGGAGGCACATAAACTGTGCAGATAGGAATGCTGTGTTCATAACTGCCTATGAGTAACCTGTAAAGTGAGTGTGCCATTTTGTAGTGCCGTTCAAATGTCAGGTGAGTTATCACCTGTAGGTCTTTTTGTCCAGATACCACACTTACTTCCTGGCGGCAGAAGACGGAGCTTTCCACAAGTAAACAGACACTTCTACTGGATGTTATTTGACCGAGGTTTGAATCATGATTTAGTGCCATAGTTTAAAGGTGCGATTTATACGTTGTAGCTTGAGGGAAATTGCTTCAAAGCAAGTTGGAAGGCCGCGGATCAATGTGACTTAACTGGACAATTGCGAAAAAAAATGCAGTTGCCAATGCAAAAATTGTGACCCTGTATCATGTATTGAGGCTCCACATATGATATACAGGGTGCTTCAATGCAGATTTTGGATAGAATTTTCAAAGCGTCCACCAGACAGACGTTCCATACAGACATGGCATGTGACATTTAAAGAAACTGAAACCATTGAACAAGTTCGAAACAACTTTGCAGCTGAGCCTCCGGAAGTCACTCAGAAGAGCCAGTCTAGCGCTTCACGTGTAACCAAGGCCTTGCATATTGAACATTTGTGAAAAAAAAAAATAATAATAATAATTTATTGGATTTTTGTGTTCAGATTTTTGCTACAAAATCTTAAAATGAATAGTTAAGGTAACATAAATTGGTATTTTGTATCTTTAACAGTCATTGAGTGAAAAGGTAACATTAAGTGACCCAGACTGAGTCCTTGTACTGTGTTGTATTTTCCATTGAACCAGGAAAACATTGGGAGTTTGTCAGGGATGGAGTCGACTGTCACTAAGAAAGAAATAAAGGCAATAAAGGAGAAAAGAGTGGATGTAGATGTGAACATTATAACTATAGTTTCAGTCTTATTGTAAAACTTCATCGTGAGCTGTTTCCGTAAGAGATGTGGTCGAGTTGTCGACTTGGATAAGATGTGCTCTTTTGACGCTGAAATGGACAGTGTGCTGTCGAGTTGATGTCAGCTAGCAGGCTAAGAAGCAATACAATTGTACTACTTTATGGCTTTTTGGATTGGGGATCTGCGACTCATTGGTAATTGGAACGCAAATAGTGATTAGAATCATTAAATAGCAATCGCTAGACGTTACTCAGACAGTATGCTATGGTCATTAACATTATCGTTAATCTGATGGTAAAGCAGTGATCCAATATCAAACACATTCTATCCTACGGAAAGCCTGCTGCTAAATGATTTGCAGACAATCTGTTTCTGAGTCAGGGTTTCATGTGTAGGAGAGCAGCTCTTTCTCTGCAAACTATTGACGTTTTGCTAAATTACTTAAGGACCCACCCAAACATTTTATTGAGATTTGTGGGAAAAATGCCTTTCACACACCCCATCTGCCCCTTTAGAAGTGGCTATTCCGCCTCTAGATATTTTGACGTAAGGAGGAGAACATAGATAAGTGTTTTTTTTTCCATCCTACATGACGTAAAAAAGTCATAGATAGTGAGAGGTGTCTCAGTGTCTGTATTTCGACTTAAGTACTGACTGACTCTATCACCACACACACACACACACACACACACACACACACACACACACACACACACACACACACACACACACACACACACCCACACACACACACACACACACACACGCACACACACACACACACACACACTTTTTCCACACTTTTTAAAAAGATGTCAGCATCTTGTCAGCAACCATGCCATAAAAAATGATTGACAATTGACAGCAGACACCCAAAGCAGTGACAGTTTGCACACCGGAAAGCTTCTTTGTACAACTATTTTCTTCATCTCCTTGATTTAACCTCATTCACCACTGGCTCTACTGGATTAAATTACATTTTTTTAGAAGGAAACTGCAACCAGCCTTAGCTTTTTGGCCAATATTTGGCAGTGTAACCCAAACACAATAGGTGTTTTTTTTTTTAATCGCTTTCAGTTCAGGTCAGCGGAAGTCACTCCTGTTCTGCCCCTTCAAGGTAAACTGGCAGTTTATAGTTTACAAACATGAAAAGGTCATATATTTAGGATTTATGTATTGCCGCTAATGTATCCCACAATATATCTTCAAAAGTAGAGAACTGATGGTCATCGGAAAAGTGACACATCCCATAACACATTGCACTACGTTGCAAAATTATATTTGATAAATTTTGATACAAGTAGAGAAGCATATCACCACTTCCATGGACGTAAACTGCTCTGATAAAACATCCGCATCTTTAAAATATATAATTTTATTTTAATAAATTTATTTGTTCAGTATTTATTACGTCAATCCCACGAGCGGTACACTGATCAGGCACATTGTCATTTTGGCAAAGCAATGACTGAACTAATAGTGCAAACTCCTGCATGTTCATCCCAAATGTAATCAAGTGTTCCATGATAGTCCACTACAGAAAGATACCTTTACGGTAAACAAGGCAACACTCCTCAAGGCATTGATGACCACATACAAAATATTTTGTAATTGCTAAAGGATGCCACAAGATGGCAGCAGAGCACTTTAGTCTAGTAGACTGAAGAACTATGACCGGATTAAATGAAGCTCCTCTCCTCAGTTCAACATAGGTGCCTGGCACCAAGATGCCACCAGAATGTGCCAAACAAAATTTTTATATCAGACATGGTTGAGTCCTGAGCATACAACAGCCAATTGGTCAGGATAGTTTCCTCTGAGAAGTTCATGAATAGGTGAACCAGCAAATATGCGGTGGTTCACTGCACTGAAATAATGATGATCTTGTTTACGAACATTGACTCACTCTTGAACCAAGCAAAGCGATTATTCTGTTGTATGCGTAGCAACAAGCTACACAGTTTCATTAGACCTTCTGCCGTCTTTTGGAAGAGCATAAAATTGTTACGCATGTCACTGCCATCGATAAATGAACAAGGATTATTATTATCAGTGGTAAAAAAAAATTTTTTTTCATTGACTGGATAGTTTCTCGTGGCACACCGCATGATCTCTCACATCACATTGGTTGTGAATCCCTGAATTAGAGAAGTTTCCACAATTCCTTGACCTACAGTTACTCAGCTCCTGTCCAATCATCTTTTACCACCGTCCCTAATTGAGGAGACCAGCGGGCCTTTGATATAAAAATTAAAAAAAAAAGAAAAATGAGAAGAAAGAATGTGTTGAAGAGCGGGGAGAAAGGACCAAAGAGGAGGGCAATGTCACAGCCGGCTGGGTGACTCTCCACAACTACTAGCCTGACACGCCAGGACATTGATTAATACACGGGGCGCGGTGCGCAGCAGGCTGAGGATGTAAACAACGCTGTGACAGGAGGAGGAAAGCAAGGGAGTGAGTCAGCACTGCTCATCAAACATGGCCCTGTTGCGGGCAAGGCCATCCAAGTGGAAAAGACGGTGTAATTGAACACCTTATAAACACAAAATAAAAAATGGGTTTGCTCTTGCATCTTACTCTGCAGTGTGAGCGTGGGGAAACTACTGTTGGATGATTTGTAAATTCACTCGGGTGCTCCCCTCTGAATATTTGGAGTATTCACTTAGCTTGACAGATGCTTTTTTTTTTTTTATTGTCATTCCGTGTGGGTGGACCAATGTAGCAAATGTTTGATGATTCGCCATAAAAGCTAAAACGCTGACTTGGTGTCTGTAGTGTCTTGAAAAACTCAGCCCTCTAAGGCCAGTTTCACATAGAAAGATTAACAGTGATAGGCTTGTCTGTCATGAGTAGGCGCACAAAAAAAGTCTCTCGGGCCAATGCTCTCAAACAAATAGGAAGTCTACCATTTTGCTTTGAAAAAGCCATTTTATGCTCATTCATGCCTTTTCTGGGGCTCCTTCAAAGACAAACTCCTCCTAAAGATACTGTCTTACTTGCTACTAATTTTGAACCATGTACACTAGACTTATGGATGGCACTCACTGAAGAACATCTTAAGTTTTTGTCAATGCACGCGGGTGGAGCATGGCCGTGAAAGTTTGATGACTTGCCATAAAACCGGAACTCTAATTTCGTTCCTCCTGTGAGTCTTTCAAAATTCAGCCCCCAAAGGCAGTTTCACTTAGCAAGATGACAGCTAGTAGGGTGTCATGGCAGACCTACAAAAAAAGTCTCATGGACCATGTCGCAAAATGTACCTCAACATGAAGTCTGACATTTTAGTCTGAAAGAGCCTTTAAAGACAACATGCTCCTTCTGATTGCTAATAAATTTGAACCATGTACACTGGGCAAATTGATGACACTCTGAGAAAAATTCAGACCGTTTCACTTGCTTGTCTTCCATGAATGGACCCACCAAAATATCTCAAGCACTAATGATGTTAAAAACAAACAGAAAATCTGCTACTTTGGTTTGAGGCTGCCATTTTAGGGTCATCCCTGCCATTTCTAGTGAAGAATGTGCCACCTGCACGTGTCAGTCTATTTCCTTTAAAGTTTATCTTATGTTATCTGGGGGGGACAGACAAGCACGACTGACCCTGTCCTCTGGTTCTCGCAGAAATGCATGAAATTCAACGTGGATGCTCCCATCTGGCGCTCCAAGCAGCGGATCCTGTGCACGCTCAACCAGAGCCTGAAGGACGTACTCAACTATGGCCTGTTCCAGCCGGCGTACAATGGCAAAGCTGGCAAGTTTCTGGATGAGGAGAGACAGCTGAGGGAATATCCTTTCCCATCCATCGCTCCCGTACCTTATCTGGAGGTAGGCCACGCATCATGTTTATGGATGACACTTTACAAGCAGGCTGAGTGAATGGACAATAGAAAAGGGACATCTGGGGAAATGTACGCGGTGAGCCCTAACACTGGATTGTGCACAGAGACGGAGAGCCAAAATATGGGCCAATTAACACAAGGCTGTATTGACTTATTGAAAAAGAAAAAGAAATTCAATACAAAGAAAAATGAGATAGGTAGAAGTAAAAAAGCAAAAGGAGAAAGAAGAAAATCATGACTTTTGGTCATAATGGTTGATGATGAGGCAGCGTTACATTCTTGGAAGTCAAAAAACATCGGAATTGGGCACATTAATCATGTAAGCAAATCTCTCGAAACAATATTAGCTTCCAAATATTGTCCGATTAAAAACATGCTTCAGCCTACTCTCCGGAAAAAAAACAAACAAACAAAAAAAACATTTTCAGTGGTGTGTTTCTTAAAGCTTATAATGTTTTTTGTACCATTTAATTAAAACAAGTAAATTTTTTTTTTTTTCCTGCTGGCTTCACTGTATGTTTTTACATACTTTTTTGTATGTTTAGTCCAAATTTTAACTCTTGTTTTCCTAAATCATGGAGTCAGGGTATCTAAATTCACTTTGTATTCAAAACTCAGCGGAAAGTGCGAAACTGAACAGACTTGCTTTTTATTGCACTGTGGTTAATAGTCATCATTGTCCCTTTGGCTGACCCTAAAATATTCATGTAATAATCTGATTAAAATGTGACTACCGTAATTGCATGTTTTTTCTTGCAAATTGAATGCTTTCCATTGCTTTCAAATCCGTTGCTGTAATTGTCACATCTTACTCAGCATTCCGACACATGATTTGGTCACACGCTTTTCAAAAAAAAAATGCTGTATGGAATGTTTATAACTATATAACTGTATTAGTAACATTGTGAGCAGCTTTATCTGCCATAGTAAAGCTGAACTTGTTCAGCATTGTGCAAACTGTCACTGCTTTGGGTGTCTGCTCTCAATTGTCAATCATTTTTTATGGCATGGTTGCTGACAAGATGCTGACATCTTTTTAAAAAGTGTGGAAAAAGTGTGTGTGTGTGTGTGTGTGTGTGTGTGTGTGTGGTGATAGAGTCAGTCAGTACTTAAGTCGAAATACAGACACTGAGACACCTCTCACTATCTATGACTTTTTTACGTCATGTAGGATGCAAAAAAAACCACTTATCTATGTTCTCCTCCTTACGTCAAAATATCTGTTTCCCAACGTAGGGGGTAAAAGTAAAATGTATTCAATAACATACATGCTCAAGTAAAGTGCAGATACAATTGATATGAAAAGTCTGCACACCTGTTCGAATGCCATGTTTTTGTGAGCTAAAAAAATGAGCCCAAAACGCATTTTTTTCCCCACCATGACTGTGATCATGTCAACTATACAACTTAGTTAAAAATATAAGCCTACTAGAACATCTAAACTTCATTTGGGGCTTATCGGACACAATTTCAATGGTAGGAAGGTACAGTATGTGCTGACTTGCATTTAAGATGAGTTTGATTGTTACGGGTAATTCTAAACAGCTCCATCCTCATTAAAAGAGGGTGTGCACCCTTGTACAACCACAATGTGTCTGTTGTTTCATTTTTAGTTCCCCTCTTGAAAATATTTGATCTTTTAATTGAATTATACAGAGTAGAAATCACATTTATGGCTGAAAACGTTTTGAATGAATCTTTTTTTAAAATATCATAACCTGGCATCTGAACATGAGTGAACATTGATTGACACATGCCCACCAGTGGTATATGGGATGCGTCTTGGACCGAATCCCAGGGCTCATCCATCACGATGGGAAACGTAGCGAGTAAAACGACGCGTTACGACTGCAGTATAAAAACGTCACACGCTCTTCAACAGTGGCTGTCTTGCTCCCCTGCACTTTTTTACGAGCAGGGTTGAAATCAAGATGAGTGTCACACCCTTATCTTCTGGGATATGGCGCGACGATATTATTCACCATCATTATCACTGATAGTTGTCTGTGTTGTAAATTTGAGGCTCATTAAGGCTAAAGCCTTCCTGTCCCCTAGCAATCAGTAATTAGCTATATTATTCAGGTTATTTCTTTAATGTTATACTGTGTGTGTGTGTGTGTGTGTGTGTGTGTGTGTGTGTGTGTGTGTGTGTGTGTGTGTGTGTGTGTGTGTGTGTGTTCCCAGGCCCCCCGCTGTATGAGGAAATCTATTATTTCTCCACTGGATAGTGATATAAAGTCAAACTCCATGACTGACAGATGACTGGTTGGATCACTCGTGTGGAAAACTGAGTGGAATGATATTATAAAGGGATCCAATATTGTCACATGGATTGTTGATCTGCACTTCACATGTTTCTGTCAGTTTTCCTTTCACCGTTGTGCTTGCAAAAAAAAAAAAAAAGCATCCATTCAGGCCCAGCAGCTGTCATTGTGTGTTGTACGAGTGCTACAGTGTAGTCGTGCCGCGCGTGTCATTGATTGACCCGCACTTACTTCCCCTGAGGCGGTGGGCTGACTGACAGGATGACATGAGTTTAATGTCATTTTTTTTCCATGGAGCGTTTTGCTGGTGTTGCCTGGTGTAAAAGAGGCTGGATTTGCATTACACATGCATGTGCACAATTCCCATTTAATGCCTTAAGTATCTCACAAAAGTGAGTGTGACCCTCACGTAAATATTTTATTTCCTGTTTTCATGGGTTCACGCTGAAGAAATGTCACAGTGTACAGCTTGTATAACGGTGTCAATTTACTGCCCCCTTGAAATAACTTCTTTTCTAAAACCGCTGGTAACAAATATGAGTGCTACTTTACACCCCTACATGAAAATGTACAAATTATGGTGAGTGTTGATACTTTTTATGGCTAACATTATTATCCAGCTTGCAGGTATTTTCATTCCTAAAAAGATTTACCGTATTTTCCGCACTATAAGGCACACCCAAATGCATTCAATTTTCTCAAAAGTCGACAGTACGCCTTATAATCGTTCTGAGTTCTTGGATGTAGTGTTTTAACTGTTCTCTAAAGCTGTTTGTTAAAGCTGCAGCGGTTGTGAAAGCTCGATATAAATAAAGCTGTATTGTATTGTATTCCCTTTAGTGTAGTGGCTGCGGTTGTGTAATCGCTTTTGCAGTTTTTATTCTATGCGCCCTATAATGTGGTGCGACCTATATATGAAAATAGTTTTAAAATAGGCCATTCATTGAAGGTGCACCTTAAACCCCAAAGCGCCTTCTAGTCAAGTCGAGTCAGGTCAGCTTTTATTGTCAAATATGCTCTATGTGTAACATACTGCACAGATGAAATTACTTTCCTCTCTTAACCACAGTGCAAACATGTCGTGCATTGAACACAAACAGCTCATATTTACGTTAAAATGTCATAAGACATTAATATATAAATATGTTAAATAAAAATGAATGTAATAAATAAACAAATATAACAACAGACAACTAAGGGCGCTTGTGATTATTGCCTATTTGTAGTGACTTGTTTTCAGTGCAATAATCGGATGTCAGATGGGGAGTTTAGTCTCCTGACTACCTGGTGGAATAAACTGTTCTTGAGCCTGGTGATTTTAGCAGAGAGACATTGCCTTCTCCTCTCCGACGGCAGCAGGTCGAAGAGTCTGTGAGACGGGTCGGTGGGGTCAACTGCGATCTGGGTGGCTTGGCGGGTCAGACAAGAGTTGTAAGTGTCGGCCAGTGGAGGAAGAGAGACACCAATGATCTTCTCAGCCGCTCTCACAATGCGCTGCAGACTCTTTCTGCAGGACACAGTGCACGCGCCGTACCACACGGTGATGCAGCTGCTCAAGATGCTCTCAATGGTGCTTCTATAGAAAGTCTGCATCATGGGGGCGGGGCTCTTGCTCTCCTTAGTTTGCGGAGGAAGTACTGGCGCTGGTGGGCTTTATTTTGGCCAGTGAGGTAGTAAATAGGCTCCAGGTCAGGTCTTCAGAGATGTGCACACCAAGGAACTTGGTGCTACTCACCCTCTCCAGTGCGGAAAATACGGTGATTATTATTCTTAAGCCATCATGACATCATTTGAACATTTGTACTGCACTCATAAGTAGAAAAAAAAACTTTAATAATGATCTAATTGAAATGCATTTCATGTAAAAGTAAAATTTAAGTTGTAGCAAAGATTTTTTTTCCATAAACCGTGCTTAAAGATTTCATTCAAATTTGAATTTGAGCTTTCCTTGACTTTTTTTTTTGCACAATTTGTATTATGTCTTGCTTTTCTTGCTATTGCATTCATATTTTCATTCTTTCAAATATGTCTGATGATATTTCATGTTTTAAATGTACTGTATATTATTTTGTATTTAATTCAATGATTCTTTTGCGTACCACTTGATGGAGCCCATTTGCCACTAGTGATTTGATGCTTTCACTGTAATTTAGATTTACAGAGGGTGTTTTTTAACGTGTTTATTTGTGTTGCATGGTCAACGGTTGTGTATACGTCACCAGTCACTGTATTTGTTTGACATCAAGCTGGAATTGACACGCTATATTCAATCTGTGAGTTCACGGTCACATTCGCAGATATCAAATACATGTCTGATTTTTATCCACATTTGAAAGAGGCTTACCTTTGATCAGAAATTATTCATTTCTATTTCTGCTCCAATAACACATTTCCCAATAGTGCCACTTGACAATAAACAAAATCAGACATGTCTCAAATGAACCATGCGGAGTAAATCAAGCCTAAACGTGTCATTATTGATGCTGTCTGCGAACGATCCTTGAATCACACAAATACAAAAGTGCAAAATCTTGACACTCCCCGAGATTGTTGTTAAGTCCTATATTGAGTCAACCCTGTGTGTGTTTCAGTTCCGCTACAAAAGACGCGTGTACACTCAGTCGTACCTGGATGAGAAACAGCTGTCCAAGCTCCACACAAAGGTAAGAGCCCACTGCTGGGAATGCTTTTTCTTTTTCTGCTTTGGCGATGTTGCGTCCTGCTTGTGTTGTGTTTGTATGTGAAGAAATGCGCAAGTAGTAGGGACAGAATACTGTCAGCCCTAAAGACACCGAGCAACTGCAGACTTTGTCAACAGCTAAATACTTCTCGATCACTCTGAAACGAGCACCATTCATGATGGATTAACTGCCTGCAGTTTTTGCTTTTTCTTTGGCTTTTTGTGTCGTTGCTCATTCCAAATGATGGACTGCCGTCGTGGAGGGCATCACATGGGAGACATCCGTGTACTAATTGGAATCTAACTCCAGCAGACAACTAAGGTTGTGCGAGAACTGACATTGCGGACCGTATTTTCCGCACTATAAGGCACACGTAAAAGCATTCCATTTTCTCAGAAGCCGAGAGTGCGCCTTATAATCTGATGCGCCTTTTATATGGATCAATATTCTGATTTCTTGGACATAGTATTTTAAATGTTCTGTAGAGCACTTTGTTCCAGCTGCAGCAGTTGTGAAAGCACTATATAAATAAAGGTGTATTGTATTGTATTCCCTTTAGCCTAGCTTTCATCTAGTGGATGCCTAATGCAACCCGAGCCACTATTGGAGCTTCTATTCGATGCGCCTTATAATGGCGTTTGCCCTTTATATGAAAACACTTTTAAAATAGGCCATTCATTGAAGGTGCACCTCATACTCTGAAGCACCTTATAGTGCGGAAAATCCGGTATTTTTAATGTAATATTTATTGTTTTTTTTATCCACCATCTTCATAATGGTCAGTCATGCATCATTGCGTATCCAACCTTTTATTCATTAAAAAAGAAGACTTTAGTCAAAGCGCAGCGTGCCCCTGAGTTCGTTCATTTGTACTTAAGCAGTGTCCTCCATTAGCCTGACATCACAGGGAATTGTTTGAATGTTTATGAACAGGCACAGCAGGCCAGACCGTTTTGGTCAAATTATTTTTATTTTACTAGCTATAAGGGAGCAGAAGTCAAGGGAGGACAGATGGCCAGAAATATTTCCTCAGTGCGGACAACTAGTGGATGGATATTGAATTCCATACAAGGGCGAGTTCAACGGTAACTTCATTTCTTCACCTAAATCAGTTGCTAATAGGTTTGAATTTCGCTGACTGTCGCTCGTATGATTTGTAGCCAGCAACAATAAATTAGGTTGATGGCGGCATATTATACAAAAACAATATTTGAACTAATTCTTCTTGGATGTTTATATTTGTCAACTGGAATTTACCCATTTACTGCCAGAGACGTATATATTCATAAAATATGTTTTTCGACAGGTAGCCATGGAGGCAGGTCTCGCCCAGCTTGTCTTTCAAATTCAGGTTTGTGATCCACTGTAATGACAGACAAATGCCTGTAGATGGTGGTGTTGCATTACTTTGGATTCAAGATTTAACAGCTTTGATTAGAAGATAAAGATTAGGAGGTGAAACTCAGCTTGTCACAGCTAAGCCAGCCATGCAGTGTGTTGCTACGGGAAAGAGGGAGGAACATTTTTTTCTGTAAAAAGGAGTGAGTCTCCCTTTTCTTTTGATAGGCATTGCGTCAGAACACAAAATTCTGTGGGTCTTGAAAGATTAATCAAAATGCTCAATGTCAGCAGGCAGTGCGGGAAACTCTGCTTTGCTGCAAATTACCAGTAGTTTAGACAACCGGGAATTGTTTTCAATTGCGGTGGGGAAAAAAAAAGAAATCACAATATGTCTCTTTTAACATTTTGACTAAGGGCAGCACAGTGCTCGACTGGTCTGCACATCTGCCTCACAGTGCAGAGGTGCATGGTTCAATTCTATACCCCTTCCGGTGTGGAGTTTGCATGTTCTCCCCGTGCCTGTGTGGGTTTTCTCCGGGTACTCCGGTTTCCTCCCACGTTCTAAATTCACCCATGGCAGGTTAAAGGAACACATAACATTGTCCCGAGGTGTGATTGTGAGCGTAAATGGTTGTTTGTCTATTTGTGGCCTGCGACTGGCTGGCAACCAGTTCAGGGCGTCCAAAGACAGCTGGGATCGGCTCCAACACGCCCGTGACGCTTGTGGGGAGAAGTGGATTAAAAAAATGGATGGATGGATGGATGGATGGATGGATGGACACTGAGTAATTAGTGACGGCACAAGTTGGGAGACATCCACACACTGGACTTAAAATTCACTCTCATGAATTATTAACATCCACTATACATTTTTTCTGCCTTCTGCTTCTTCTCCTATAATTGCTGCGGTAATACATTCAGCAGCACAAACATACTTTGAAAACGAGCAGGAAAAGTAGCACTTCTCTCCAGTTATTTTCTAATGGAAATGATCAGCACCTCAGGCCAATTCCTTTCGTGTGGCAGCGAGTGGGCTCTTTCGCTAAATACAGTATATTATTCAAAAGCTTTCCTTGAAAGGTGGGTTCGGTGATCGGCCTGTTTTAGAATCCATCATTGGACAGTACAGTATGTATTTTTGTAGGAACTACAGAATGAATGGGCTATGTAGAAAAAGTGCACTTTAAAAGCTGACCTTACGTGTTGGCAGCTCCGAAGTTACAATGCGTGAGGGTGTGACCGTGTGAGGTTACGGGAGAGAGCTGTGGCTTGTTGCTGCGTGGCAGCACTGTGTGGAGTTGTGAATAAACAGACCAGAAAGATGCGGTGCCTCAGCGGTTCACTGGACCATCTTCCTCCTACTTCGCTCACTCCCCTCTCAGCGTGTGTGTGTGTGTGTGTGTGTGTGTGTGTGTGTGTGTGTGTGTGTGTGCGTGTGCATGTGCGTGCGAGTGTGCATGCGTGCGTGTGTTCGTGTGTGCTTGTGGTGGCCTACAAGCATATTTACAGGTATCCATTCACTTCATACATATGTAAACATTGCACATTGCTATAAAAAGCCTTGATTTGGATTTTCCTTCAAGCCAAAATATGAAAATGTGTACTTTCACTTGCATTTATTCAAATTCTAGTCAACTACATAATTGAAATAATTAGATGGGTGACACTGTAAATTTCCCCAGTGTGGCACAAATAAAGGATATCTTATCTCATCTTGTTGTCCGCACCAGTGTCAGAGAGACTGTGACAATTGCTTTCGACGTAAAGAAGTGAGTCTTGAGTGTTCAATGTGATACTCTAATTGCAGCTTGTTGGTGTTCCTTTAAGCATGGTACACACATGCCAATCATCACGCTGAATTTTGAGACTGATTCCCTCCTCTGGTGACTACTAGCTTGTCTAGCACTGAACTTCACAAAAGCAAGTGTAGTTACATCAGCTTGTCAAACTTTCAAAAGTCTGAGGGTCACGAGTGATGCAATAAATGAAACAATGAGTAGTTTGATAGGCAAAAACAAAACTGAACGCACTTACCTTTGTGACTGACCAGTTCCCTCTGTACGGAAGCATTACAGCAATCACTTTATAACAAAAGTCTAATACCAATCTAATCTAACAATTTTCACTTGTTATAAAAACAAAACAAAACAAACAAAAAGAAAAACCATACAGACTTTCAGTCTTAAGATGACATATAAATGCAAGGGCCCCGTGGAATGATGAATTCGCGAAGTAACATGACACTTCTCAGACAGTTCAAGTGTCCAAGAGAGGTCTTTGAATTTTTTTCTCAATCTATTTGAAACACTTTTAATTAATTAATAATGCATGAAAATAACAGACAACATACGGACAGACAAATAGTAGAAAAAAAAATATTCAATTGACCATATTTGGACATCCTGTACAGAGTTTTCGCGACGATATGGAATATGTTGCAAAGCCTCCACAAGATTGAGTTCACACACAATGTAAAGTTGTTATGTAAATGAAAAGGAAATAGTATTGAAGAAAAAGCTCATTAGCATCTAGAGCAAGATCTGTCTCACCGCAAACTTTTGGTGTGTGCAATCAAGAGTTTTATTTTAATCGAGCAATGATATACAGTATCATCATCGATTGGTGGATGCCCGCAGGCCCGGTGTGAGCGTCCATCCAGTGCGGCAGAGAAAGCAACCGGCGTGTGGGTATTCACCGTCCGAGCATTTAGCCTACTTTGCCATCATGGAGTTAATTCGCCGCAGGCCAAAGTTCAAAATGAGGTCATAATTAATAGAATCCCCCCCCACCCACATAACCTCTTCACCCTTCCTGCTGTCCTGCTTAGCGAGCAGGACAATTGCATGTAATATTTGCACAGCACAAATGCACATTCTGTTTATATGCTAAGCTTGCATAAAAAGCCCTCAGCGTGGTGTAAGTGGGTGGCACATACAGTATCATGTGGAGAGCCCTTTAGTAACGCACTATTTGGCAACGTGGTCATGACACCGCCTCAGCCCGACCCAACCACGCACTGCGATCATATTATTTCCTCTGCTTGCAATAATTAACGCAATCACAGCGTAAACAAACGCTTTCGCTGAGGCGATTTCTCGTGAGTGCACAAAAAGGCAATAATTGAATATCCTCATATTTCACTCACGCTGTTCCTCCCACTCGTCTGAATGTTGTAAGTGGCTCATTGTGTCTCTGAATGGAAATTCCTGCATTGCTTGCGATATAACACAGAGAATCCTGTGCGTCGTATATACTGTATCGCGGATGCGAAATATGCAGTATGACAGTTACGGGGTGCACACAATTCACACATTAGCATGGAATCTCTCGCATAACACGCAACTGTTGTCAGTGTATAGGTAACACATGAGAAAACATGTGTCAGACAATATTATTGCTTATTAATGTAAACTGCTCATGCCCTGAAATTCACACATTTTTCAAGGGCGCTGGCCCGAAAGCACCTATGTAACAATTTGGCATGGCTCGATATTAGATTCTAATGATTTGATAACCATAAGCAAAAATATTGTGATATTACGATATTAAAATTACAGCTCTAAAGTGACCTTTTCTGAAATATTTTGGTAAATAAAGCATTTTCCCCCTTTGAACACAGTCTGATTTGTTTTTAAAAAAAA